TGGTCAGGTGGATGCATTCTTATGCATGCCTGATGAAAATTTTCAAATTTCGTTTTTAGTTTAGTACGACCCCCGCGCGGGCCCATAGGCGCCGCCATCATGGCCCGCGCAAAAGGCCTAAACGTGACATCGACTTTTTTTCTACGTTGTTACGCCGCACCAATCAGAACCGGCTGACGCAATGTACGCACGCGCTTGCGTCAACCGACTCGCGCCCGTACCCCTGAGGCCTTAGAGAGCCTCACTTTGTCTATAGCTCCCGAACCGAGCGGTCGTCAACCGAACCAGTGCCTTTCATCGTGCGTACTGTGTATTGTCATAATTATAATCCGCTACCCGAGTGAGTGCAATAAACCGCTACCGTTGTGTTCTACTCAGTGTATGTGTTAATCCAAGAAGGCCAGCGCCTGATTGTGTGTGTAGGGACCAGAAAGTCTTACTGGGGGCTCAGCCGCGCGAAACGAACCATGGCGACCCCGAACGAGCGTATTGTGCAAAGTGAGCTGGACGAACCGTCCCCAAGCCCTTCAAGCGATTCCGCATCGGCGTTCGCCCAAAGCTACCGCAACAACAATCAGTGGGCACACCTCATGCTCCCAGCAATACGATCGTACTGTGCGTCCGCACAAATCCCTCATCTGGGAAACCGCGACGAACTCGTCGCAGCGCTCCAAGCGCGAGGCGTACAGCCCATCAACGTGCTCCAGAACACGACACCGGGCCCCTCAGCCAGCCCTTCCGCCGCTGAACTCACGGCTAACATAACCGAAACGCTGCTCCGACGCCGGGCAGACTTTCCGAAACAAGCCCAAGGAGAAGACTTCGAAGTCTACCTCCGACGACTGGAGATCGCTTTCAGTCACGACGGAACGTCGAACAACACCAAGATCGACTGCCTGATCGGGCACACGACACCCACAGTCGCGGCGGCCGCCCAACGACTGTACGACGAAGGCTATCACAATTACGACGACATCGCCGAGCGGCTCAAAATACAATTCGGGCTCTCGCCCTTCGAACATTTCACGCGATTCCTTGCCCTACGCCCACTCGAAGACGAATCATGGGCACAGTTCGGGAATCGCCTACGATGCGAATACATTCGCTATCTACCGCTCAGCGCAACCGACCTACCCGGGCAAGAGAAATCTATCACAGCTGCCCTCATCGGGCAACTCCTAGCGATCACCACCGGAGGGCTCCACGCCCACCTCTACTCCAAGGCGACCGCCGATCGTACCCTAACATGGGTCAACTGCCTGGCATACGCGGACGAATACCGCCGCATGCACCCAAATACGCCACGAGCATCACCCGCTCCACAGAGCCAACAACAAACCAACCGCCGACCAAAAACTACGGCGTCCGGCGTACAAAAACATTACTGTGATCATCACCAATGGTACGTCCTACACACGACTGCGGAATGCTTGCTTGGGCAGAACCCACGGCCCAACACGGCCACGGGTAACCAATCACCACGAAACCTGCAATTGTGTACCTATCACCCAGGCTGCCTAGTTGCACACTCGACGGCGGAGTGCCAAAACAACCCAGCCAACCAGGTAAACTCGCCTAACACACAAACAGTCCAGCCGACTAAATGTGTACAATGCGGACTTACAGGTCACACGGCGGCAAACTGCCCGAACCAGGGAAACGCCAAGATCGGGCAGTGACGGCTGTCCTCTGCTCGATCCCCCAAGCTACAGACGACAGCCTCACGATCATCATCGGTATCAAGAACAAACGCGTTACAGCGCTGATCAACACTGGAGCCACCAGGTCATTCATGGCGACCGACGTCGCAGCAGAAGTAGGGCTGACACCCCACCTGACGAAAGCGAAGATCTCCGCAGCCGTCTTACACATCTCCGCCGACATCAGCCACTCGGTAAGTACCACATTCTCTCTTGGTTCAGCCGACTACTCCGCGACATTCTTTCTCCTCGCAAACGCGAGATACCCCATAATTCTTGGCCTCGACACACTGAAAAACCTCCCGTTTTGTGTAACGCTCGACGGCCAACGAATCTTTTCCGGATTCCAAACTATAAAACCCATAAACGAGGTACCACAAGCCGAACCCGGCGAAGGAATTACGTTCGTAAACGGCTCTCCTGCAGAACAGAACGCGATCGCGAAACTACTGACCACATACAAGGACAACATCTTTCAGTGGTCAGGGAAACACGGCCTGTTCCCCCAACACATCGCATCCATCCCAACAAACGGCCAAGACCCCGAGCCACCGAGACGCATACGCCTGTCGCCCGACAAGATACCAGCGATGACAGAAATCCTCGCCAACTATACCAAAGCTGGCATCATCGAACCAGCACAGTCCACGGTCAACTCAATGGCATTCCTCACGCCGAAAGACGACAACCCAAATGCACCGGCAATCTGAAGATGGCGGCTAGTCGAAGACTACCGCAAAATCAACAAAATCATACTCGCAGACAACTACCCGATGCCGGTAATCCAAGACATCCTCGATGCCCTGGGCAGACAAAACGCATACTTCTGCTGCCTGGATCTGCACTCTGGGTATCACCACATACCCATAGCCCACGGCGACCGCCACAAAACGGCATTCACAACCCCGACCGGGCAAATGCAATATACAGTCATGCCGTACGGCCTCAAAACCGGCCCGGCCATATTCCAGAGGACCATGGAGACAATACTCCGTCAGCACCTCTACAGCCAATGTCTCGTGTATATAGACGACATCATCGTCTTCGGCGCTACATTCGACCAAGTGCTACAGAACCTCTCCAAAGTGTTACACACCCTAGCGACCGCAGGGGCATCCATCGACATCTCCAAGTCCAAGTTCTTGGCAGAATCTATTCATTTCCTGGGACACATTGTCGACAAAACCGGGATGCGACCAGCCGAGGAACACCTCAACGCAGTCCAAGCGTTTCCCAAACCCAAAACCACGAAACAAATGCAAAGGTTCCTGGGCCTCGCAACGTACCTGCGCTCGCATGTACCAACAAACTTTGCAAATCTCGAAAAGACCTTTTGAAACACGATACCCGTGAAACCGGCCACGGCACTCAAATGGACACCCAAAGCGGACGCCACCTTTGAGGCCCTGAAGCAGGCGATCGCCAACGCCACACGCCTGGAACGGTTCGAACCACAGTGGGACACAGAAGTCCACTGCGACGCCTTGGCCACCGCCATTGGCGCAATCCTAGTGCAGATAGAAAATGACGGACAACCACACATCATCGAGTACGCCAGCCGAGTCCTAACACCGGCAGAGACCCGCTACTCTAACACCCAAAGAGAACTACTAGCGGCAGTGTGGGCGACCACCAAAAAGTTCCTACACTACGTCGAACACCGACAATTCAAAATTGTCATGGATCACAAGGCATTACTTGGAGAATTAGTCGACACCCGACTCATCGCTCTCCGACTAAAACTGGAACCATTCCAGCATACGTTCGTACACCGACCGGGCAAAACCCTCAAGGGTCCAGACGCACTCAGTCGGATCCAGCTGAACAGCATCCAACTCCGCAAAGTACCCGATCCAGGGCAGCGCGCAGAGATCATTGACCAATATCATGTGGAAATGGGCCACACCAACTGGAAGAAAACCTTCGATACGATTCGCAAAAGATTCACCTGGCCCGGCATGCGCACCAACATCTTCCATCATGTCCTGCAATGCGCCAAATGCTTCACGTTCAACTCGGCGACCGCCGCAGTCGGAACCAAACTCACACCTGTCCCGCCCGCAGACAAACACGACCGTCTAGGCGTCGACTTCTGGGGACCCTTCCCCCCATCAACAAACGGGAACCGTTACGCCATCATCGCGATCGACTACTACTCACGCAGAGTGGTAACCACACCCGTCAAACGGGCAACAGCGAACGCCCTATGCAGTTTCCTAGCAGACGTCTTCGCCCAAATGGGGACATTTGAAATTATCCACTCGGATGGAGCAGCGGTGTTCAACTCAGCGCCGTACAAGAGATTCATTACAGCAAACCAGATTGCGTCCCACATCGCCCAGCCATTTCACCCAGAAGGCAACGGCGCTTGTGAGAGAGCTATCAAATCGCTGTCAGCAATAATAGCCAAGACAGCATCAACACCCACCACGTGGGATGAAGTCTTACTCGACGCAGCGATTGCATATAACCGTACGCCTCACACGGCCACCGGTCTACCGCCCATCGAGCTCTGGCACAAAAAGCCAATCCCCACCCCCACCGACATAAAATTTGAGATACCCACCAGGGACATATCCCAAGAACTCAAACTAGTCAAAGCACGTCACCAAAAATACCGCAAACGGTACATAAACCAAGCGAATCAAAACCGCCGGCCCGCATTTAAGCTCGGCCAAATGGTTACCCTCCGGCCACGCCTAAAAACGACAGAAAAACATGCAGCCAACCGGCAATTTTTACCAAAACGCTTTGGTCCCTTCCGTATCACGGCAGTCCTTGGCGAAGCGAAATATCGCATCCAGACTCCAATGGGCGATCGACAGGCAAACGCCTGGGAGTTACAACCCTATAACTTCCCCGTCGCGCCACCCCCAACCATACCAAAGCACCTAGTCCAACAAAAAAGTACAAATTCTTTCTGTTCACAGGATATGGACGAAACCGACCGGCCTCAATTTCGCCTCGACCCTGGGACACTCGACACTACGAGCGAAACCGACGATGAAGCCCAGCCCGTGACAAGCTCCCCCGCAGCGCGTCCAGCATGCAACAACCCCAATACGGGCCCAGCCACACCAGGCCGCGATCTGCCACAGACTCCCACAGGGACGTTGCCAATATCGAGCGTTGACATTCCACAATTTGACAGCCCTCCCCAGCAACCAACACCGTCGCCTCATCCGGATCTGACAACCGACGCAAACGCCGCTGATTCCCCAGCTCCAGTAGCTCAGAATCGTCAGTGGAGGAAGCGCCAAAGGACATCAAGCCCTGCCGCCGGACCCTCGCACAACCCCTCGACGGCACCGGACCCATCACCGACAACGACGACTAGCCACAGCCATCGGACATCAACAGGATCTCAAAACGCCCAAGGACCTCGACCGAAACGCCGCCGCCGACGGCCCTCGCGATATCGTCAGCCTTGGCCTCCTCCCCCCTCGTTTTTTCGCCGCCGCCGGCACCTTTCCTTTTCGGGGGGGGAGAGTGCGACCCCCGCGCGGGCCCATAGGCGCCGCCATCATGGCCCGCGCAAAAGGCCTAAACGCGACATCGACTGTTTTTTCTACTTTGTTACTTCAAACTTATAATCCGCTACCTGAGTGATTGCAATAAACCGCTACCGTTGTGTTCTACTCTGTGTATGTGTTAGTGCAAGAAGGTGCCTACACCTGATTGTGTGTGTAGAGACTAGAAAGTCTTACTATTTGACCAGCTTGACGCCAAAAGTTCAAGGTCGACACTGTTGCTGATCACATCATGTAATCGCACATCTTTCATTCACAAGAAATTCAAATGGACAATATTGAAATATTCTCTATTTAAAAAATTACTAATGTTACTATACAGGCTCAAGAGCATTGAATGGAAGATCATTGGTCATGAGGAGCTCCTAATCCGCATGGCTAACCATAGGAAGGCCTATATGAGACGTATCTCTATAAAATTGAATGCCACTAAAAAATCATCCCCAAAAATCGAAAAAATACTTCAAAAGAACCCACCAGCAACCGCCTGCTTAAAACAATTATATGCAGCATGATTAAATAGCAATTCGTGCGACCTCATGCCTGAAATTCGAAAACGAATACTTTCAGAGCTGTTATTCGTTCGGAGAGAAAATGTATGATGCCTAGATTGCCTACATGAGACTTTCCACAAACACAGAAACACCATATCAATTTTTAATAATGAATGGTAATCGTATAAAAAAATTATATTCGTGGCATCACAGAAATTTTGTACACTATCCCTGTGATTAAATTCGCATATTACTCTTCTAGGCGCATTCAACAAGCGCTGAACTTGAGAAAAAGTATGGTTTAGCGACCGCAAGGATAAAAAAATATGCAAATTTCGATAGAACTACAAATCATCTCAGAAATAAACACCCACAATTTCATATTTCCCAGTACATGCATCGTGACGAAAAATTTGACATGATGTATAGGATACATGTGCCATATACCATCAGAGAATTCGAGAGGAAATGACGCGCCCCATGGACCCAGACTTCAGAAGACTCACAGGGTTTCCGGAGGATATGGGTTCATGATATGAAACTATCAGAAAAAAGAGCAAGCAAACTGATAGATTGATCTTGTCGAGGCCCCAAGTCTGATATTATTGGTCTACCCTTTTGCGACAAAACCCAAGCTTCCAACTTTCGCTGAACGTAAGGGTCGGACGCATCTCAGCACGGCTTGTTCTGGGCTGCTTGATCGAATTAATACAAAAAAAACTATTTCATCTAGCAAAAGTGTTCACCGAGAGGCAAAAACTGTGGGTTTCTTTCCATTAGAAATATTTTATACACTTCAAATCGTTTCAAACCCGGAAACTTGGAAATTTTGGGGAAGTTGATGGAAGTTACATGAACGGAACCAGTCATGACATTTCAGACACTATTCGCGAAAAACCAGAAATAAATCCTTATAGTAACCCTGGTCAAATAAAATCATATTCATGACATTTTTTTTCGAATTAATGAATTTAATGTAGCGATACTCTGAAATTACAAGTGCGGACTTGAAGAAAAACCCCAGCAGAGAAAGTTTCCCTTTGCTTTTTCACATTGGTTCATGGAATATGTAAAAATAATTTGTTTGTTTAAGAAACGCCCTCAAATGATTTTACTGAAAAATCTAGGAAAAGGTGCTTGACGTAGAAGATTACATTGCAGTATTTTGTTTTATTTTGAGTGATATTCCACAGTTTATTGTCCAAAAATGGCATTCAAAATACCTCAATTTTTGTCTTCGCTGGTTCATTATAGACAGAAAATTTATAATTCTAGTGGCGGAAAAATTAGTTTTTTCTCGTTGAGTTCTGAACATCACAACCTTTATGCAAGCACATTCTGGAATTCCAGTGCATTTACATGTAAATGTTTTTTACATGTAAAACGCTCTTTTTCACCAAAGGCGGGGTGTCAAAAAAAATTACAGAAACCATTTAAATTAATCTTGGAAGAGATAAAATGATAATTTTTTTTTCTACGAGTCCTATGCTGATTACGGCATATAAATAGAAAAAAGCCGCAAATGTATACAGTATTGTTTTCAAGATTACGTTTTGATTGACTGTACAGAAAAACTGTTGCATTCCTAGAATCGTATCAGCTCTTTGATACTGAAAAATCGAAGATGTGCCCACTTTTTTCAAGTTGACGACCAAGTGAATAAGTGAAACGGATACGCGCCAACTTTGGGTTACTAAATTTTAAAACAAACGATTCAAAATTCCTCTCCGAAAATGTTTCTTTTTCCACTCCGCTGGAAATCTCAATGATTTTTTTCTTGAATTGAAACCTCAATGAACGTTTTCAGAAACGTTAGACGCTACCCAACTCCTATAACACAAAAAAATTCACTTTTCCATTATTCAAACAAAGATCAAGATTGATATATTATACCTATGGCCCAATGATGAACTCAGTGGATTAACCATACATCGGAAAATTCATTCATATGTCATACTGCTGTAAAGAATACCCCCGAGTTCCACAATTAATTTGAGGAAATCTGACAGAAAATACCTCAATGAACGCGTAAAATCAATGATGCCGTCGCCGGGGAAGTTTTTCATTTTCAATCCAGATCATTAATCTCCTGCCAAAAAGCCGTTGAAGGGACCGAACCTGAAGCAGCTGCCGTGTAAGATGCTGAGGATTGTGTCATCGATTTTAGCGCTGTTCTTTGCAATGAGCTGTTGTTCGAGGCACGACCCTGAGGTACACGAGATGCCTCTTTTCGGGCTTTTCACATCGCATCTCTTGTCTCCCGCAGGATTTTCTGAATGACGAGGATATTGCCTTGGAGCTCATAGGTCCGTACGCCGGGAACACCGTCAATACTCTGGCTCATTTGGACGTAAGCCCACTTAATGCCAAGCCCTCAGTGATGGGGACTGACAGCTCATGTACTGAAGGGGGACGACTGGATAAGGTAAAATTCGTTGTGAGATGCGAAGAAAGCTTGGAAAATGTCGGGAAACGGGTTCGGGTTCGCGCGGAGTGGATGCTGCCACGATGCAGTTGAGTAAACCCTTCGTAATTACGTACCTAGCATGAAAGGCACTATTTGTTCTAATGGTGGCATTTTGCCGGCATTCTCGCAAATGGAGTTGCTTAGACGCCGCATACTAATGCTTCAGTGTAGGTTATCCTCATCATTGTGCAAACATCCTCCAGCAGTAGTATACCTAAGGGTTTCCAGGAAACAAATCCATCGAATTTCCATCGACCTCCAATTATCGGAATCAACGCCCCTTTCTAATGGTCAGTTTCTATCCGTTTATAATCAAATACTCAGATATCTTATTCATCAGCAAATATAATGATAGACCTGAAGCAATACAGTCTAACCTTTTCAGGTCGAATATCAAGGGACCAGCAAAATAAAATGAAAAGAGGTTTCTAGTCAGGAAACCAGCATTTTTCTTGCGGGAAAGCCAATTAGACGAAGTTGTGAATGGTAATATTCTGGGCCTTAAATAGTTACTTAAAGTAACTATTAAATAGTAACTTAAATAGTTACTTAAAGTAACTATTTAAGGCCCAGAATATTACCATTCACAACTTCGTCTAATTGGCTGATCTGGAGTTGTGAATGGTAATATTCTGGGCCTTAAATAGTTACTTAAAGTAACTATTTAAAGCCCAGAATATTATTTATTACCAGAATAAGGCCCAGAATATTACCATTCACAACTTCGTCTAATTGGCTGATCTGACAGGATGCTGACCTTGGATGCAAGGGTACATTTGCAAAATTTAGTCGTTTACATAATTTCTGAACACATCGTTACTTTCATATTGATTTTATATTTTCTGTTTCAAGAAAATAATAGCGCAAAGAAATCAGAAAATTTGAGCCACGGAGGTTTGAGAGGAAACGCCTTCGAGTTTAGAGATTTTAATGCATTATTTGTTAGGGAATTCAGGCAGAAATTTGGAAAAAATTCGACGTGAGATATTCGACTCAAGTATGTATTCGACACGAAGACATGCCACATGTTGTGGGAATAAACACATTGAGATACCTTCGGAAGATCAATCAATCGATTGGGAAGTTCGTCAAAACATAAGTTGCATATATCCGTCATATTTTTCGACAATGTGCGTCATCAGAGTCTTACAATAATTATTTCAAGGCTTTGGTGAATAATAAATTCAGGATTTGCTTGATATCAATGCGTAAAACTTACATTTTAAATGCTTGAAAGAGTGCGAAATATATTTCATTTTTCAAAAGCCCAATATACGTTAAGGCACGGAAGTCAGTTAAACAATAATTGATTATCGTGCACTTGATCTGTCTATTATGAATTCAGTTTCTTCATAATATCCCGAAAATATACTCGCTCGGATCTCTCTCAGAAAACCCCACGCTGGTTTCATCGATGTTTCAGCTGTCTGTCCGAATATAAATGCAACCCACCAAAAATATGAATAGAGGACCGCAAACATCGACACACTGCTTTTTTGGAGTAGCATTGATTTGACCTTTCAAGATAATATATTCAAGAAGTCGATTTTCAGAATTGAAATACCATAAAACTCAGGATGCCCTCGTTTTACGGTCAATGCTTATACGGGAATAATGTCTGCGTTCATGTTTGGCCACGGTTCCGAACTATTGATTTCGGCCACGGACGAATAAAGAATGTTCAGTCATACCGTAATTTTTATGAACCACCCATTTTTGTGTACGTAGCCAAGCATGCCTTTAATGGTGTAAAAGTGGTAGCCCTGAAAAAATCGACCGAATTTTGAATCGGTTCATTTTTTGACGGTTGGGTGGACTAATTATGAGGAAAGATGACTGAAAACCCCACGCACCCCACTGAATACCCCATGTACCCCTCTGAATACCCCATGAATAAAGTAAAATTTCGTTCCATTAACTTCCAAGTAAAACTTTTTGTTGTTTCGGTATGACCACCATGGATATCGGGATAAAAAATATCCACCAGAAAATTTTGTGTTTACACCTTCTCAATTGAGTCATTTAGTTTTTTCCCTTCCAGAATTTCAGTCTTTCACAGACTTAAGCGAACCAAAAGATACTATTCCGAAGAAATTGAATATCTGGTCAATGTTCATGGTTGATTTTCTTCAAATTGACGGGGCAGTCATAAAAGTGGGGGCAAATAAGAAGCATGCTATAGCATTGAAAACAATGTACAGCATGCATTAATTTACATATGTATTTCACGTGTTTGTCTTTAAATTTGGAAGCTCGAGTTAACTATAGTAGATGTATTGAAATTAACAATTTCTCGTGGTCTACCCATTTGAATGAAAACACGTCAACGTTACAATTTCATTTTTTGTCCAAAATGAAACATGATCAGAATCTGGCTTACAAGTTTGAAACTCAAATCGAGTTAAAATCTGGGACTGCGCACGGTGGATCCCGAAAAATCTAAATAATTGACTATCGAACGAGGTCTTTATTCCTAGTTCTCTGTTAGAGTTACTCGTTATTTTGTTGGTTTCCTTTTTTCAAAAAGTCAGAAGCTTCTCATGAATTCTACGAAAAATCACGATGTTTTTCTCAGCTCTTTCTGTGGTGGGATGAACATGACGCAGAAGTTTGAGGTCGAACTCTTGATGCACGTAAATCCTTCTGAAAGTTCCTCGTGTATTTCGTGTGGAGTTGAAATCTAAATATCTGGGGTTTCTACTCCCAAAGTTTCCTTACGAACTAACTTCATCCGTCGCACTGCCTCTAATGGTGAATGATATTCAATGTTTTTGAGAGAAAACCAACTCTGAAAATAACAATGCTACAGTTAGAGCCATCAGGGGATATATCTTTACTAATAAAGTTGCTTGCCGTCATCCGTTCAGCACTTTTTTTAATTTTCCCTGCCCCCCCCCCCCCCTGCAAGAACCGGTTTTTCCCCATCTCCTCCCCATCTCCCAGTCTTTTCTCCATGCATACTTCCTTTCACCAGCCCTCCCTTCCTTCCTGAGCCTTACCTCCCTCCCACAGAGCCCCAGAGAGGCCTGCAGGAGGGTCCCATTTCCTGGCGTCTTACATTTCAAAATTCTGTAAAAATTGAATTTTGAAGCAAATTTGATTTTGAAAACAACATAAGCAGCGCCATGATGTTTTCTACATTTCCTTTTTTTAAAGTTTGAAAAAGCTCAAAAATTCACAAAGTTACAGTGAAAAGCGCAAAACATTTTTCAAAAATGGGGATAAATTGGAAAAAAACACTTTTACATTTGTAATTTTAGCTTTTCAAGTTTTGAAAGTTGCTCAATCAAAAAAATGTGTAAATTCAAAAAACATCTATGTGCATTCACCTCTAAAATATGATTTACATTCCACCAATAAAACAAAAGTTATCATGAGCTAAAATGGAAAAAACGGACATTTAAAAAAAGTCTGTTTCCCGTTTTGCCAACTTTAAAAATTTAGCAAAAATGCAATTTGCCATAAAACTTACTTTTTAAAACTTTATCAATAGTATCATGGTGTTTTCCACAATTTCTCATTTTGAGTTTTGAAAAAACTTGAAAATTGACTGAAATAAAATGAAAAACACAAAATCTTTTGTAATAATTATATGAAAATCTGGGAAAAAAGATATTATGATTTGAAATTTTTCTTAGTCAGTTTTCAACATCTGTCAAATGCAAAAATTTGTGAAAGTGTAAAACATATCTGTGCATATTACCCTGCAAACCATTTTGAAATTGCATGAAAATCTAAAAAGTTACAATAAGCTAAACTGAAGAATAAATTCCCATACATGCTTTTCTTCCCATTTTGCCAACTTCACAAATTTGCCAAAAATGTTGTTGTGCATCAAACTTAAACTTCAAAGCATCAGTTGAAGGAAAGGGAATTTTACTACAAAAGCCTTTTTTAATCCATCAGAAATACAGAAAATTATCAGAGTTACAAAAAAATATAGGACTTTTTTCAAAAACAGCAAAAACTAGGGGGCAAGTTTTACAAATAAGTTTTCATGTACTGTACTTCCTTCCAGAATTATGAACATTTGTTGAACAACAGTGGGCATGCCTCCCTGAAATAAATTCAAAAATGTTTCAAATCTAGAAAATTTGGCCTGAGCCAAACTTGAAAATTTTACTTTCCAATTTCTCATTTAACATGTTGATTTAAAATGTTGAAATCTTAACAATGTGTCAAAGCACAAATTCTTGATATATTCAAATGTAATTTTTCTATTTTTCAAAGTTCAAAAATTTTGCCATTTTTCATGCAGCAAAATTTGAAAACTCTAAAACTTGCATGCACATCCAATGCAAGTGTAGAGAAATACTGAAGCAAAGTTTTTACAATGAGTGAAAGTTAAACTAAAAATCTTCAAAATATTCTTTGATTTTGAAATGCCTCATTTTTCAACTTTTTTTCTGGCCAACAAATGCTCAAACTCCATAAAGGTTCCATACATACTCCAAAAAATTCCACTACAGTAGTAAAACTTCAAAAAAGGCACATAAATTGTCAAAGGATTCACATTCACTTTTCTGTATTAAATTCCCTAATGTTCACATCTTTCATTCAACAAAAAATGAAATTCAACACATTTCCAAAGGCTTTCAATTATGTTTATAAAACCTCAGGTAAATAAAATGTAGAAAAGTTCATGATGAGAAGAAGTTGAAAGCACAACATTTTTGGAAAACATTTTGGACTTATGACACCAAGTATAAGATACCCGCATGGTTATATATTCCAATGTGAGCTTTCAAGTCAATTATTGAATAGGTTTGAAGGGTCTAAATTCTTGACATGGTCACTCAAATGGGTGACCATTCCAACTGAATAGGTGGTCACTGGAGTGGTTTGGGGCAAGATGCTTCACCCAAACCCACTGATATATAGCATATTGCTTTGGGCACAATGCAGGACTACAGTGTACTTCTAAACATATAATTCAACAATGAATATTGGAGAATTAATGTTGAGCATTAAATGATCAGCACATAACCTTTGCAGTTGGTGATTGATGGAGCAAAAATGAAGGACTCAAGTTTAGGAATTACTCTTAATTTTGCAAGGCATCCAAGTTCTACCCCATTATAATTAAATCATTTCAAATTCTTCAACCCAACCACTACAAGTGCAAAGGTGGGTCTTAACCATGCACTCAATGGTTTAGGGACTTTGTTATCCAAAAAAAGTTTTAAAAGTGAAATGTAAAACCTTGAACCTTTTCTTGACTATTGTAAGATAATATTACATCAACCATTGCCAAGGCATGGCTTTGCACCCTCAGCTTAGTGGTGGCCTTTGAATATGTGACCAACATCAATCATTTAATTTTTAACCTGTACAAATATAGGTGAATGACATCAGGTGTGGTTGGGCAACTGTTCTTGCACACATAAAAATATTTTAGAATATGAAATTTTTACAATGCCCAGGTGTGGCTGGGCACCCCCAGCTTGTCATGTAGTAAATTTAAGAACAGTTCGAAAAAAGAATCGGGAACCTTACACCATTATGAGCTATATCATGATCTTGTTTGCAGTCACATTATACCTACTCAAGAAATATACAGGTTCGCGCCGAAGTGGGAAAACCCTCGTATTTGAAGAAAGCGAAGAAAGATCGCCGTATAATCCTGTCTAATCGACTCGCTGATGTACATCCATGCACAGTACCTTAATTGTAATCAGAATATTTTTTCATATCCCCCTGTTATGCTGGACTAAATCAAAACCTGGATTATTTTACGCACGTTGAGGAGCATAACTGGCGACATCTGTGCGAGAGAGAAACTAGTTATGTTTTAGTCTTGGTCTGTGAAGTCTGATGGCCCAAAATTATCCACCAGTCTCTGTATAATAATTCGAAGATACAAAAAGAGATTTCATATCAGCAAGAATTGACTGATGGGATCGAGTAATGCTGATGTTGAATACTGAGTAATCATGATTCCATCCAACCTGATCCAGGGAGGTTGGCTTCTTATTGCTTTTTAATGGATAATTTTCATATGAGTATTTAATTTCCCTGTTGATGAGAATGAATGACATTTCGTAAGTGGGACCGCGACATACGGACAATTTGACTGAGGGACACTTCAAACTGGAAACATCTGTCGCAACAGCTTCACAATGTCTCGAGATGTGGACGCTATTCCACCATTTCTGAAAAAATGGGAAATTTACATTTCTCTTGAACGTATTGGGCTATTTCTATTTATAAATTGGATTTTTTTTTATAAAATGCCTATAATTCATATAATAGAAAATAGGCGAATTTTGGGCTTCATTTTATAGTTTTTTCGTCATCTTTGCAGAGTATGGCTAAACTTATTCTTGTTGTTCGCTTCTTGAGCTCATTTTGTTTCCGGCCAGAAGCCCAGATTCCTTGTGATTATCTTCTGAAGAACTATGCTTTGCATCTTCGAATTGAGAAAAATTGAAGCGGTAGGAAATTTAATTTTTGATGATCAGAACTACCGATGAGATATGATTTCCTTATCGAAGTCTTTGGAAAAAAGTGATCCGACATGGGGACAAGGTTCAAGTATCAATTCCGTCCGCATCTCGGGTTCCCACTGTAACAGCATTTGCGTTTGGTTTTCAAGTCGGCAGAATTTTCCGAATACTGTATTCGACATTCAAATTTAAACGCAAGCGTATTTTCAAAGCCCATCATCAAAAGTTGTTATTTTCACCAAGTCCAGATTGAGCTTTTCAGCATCCCTATACGAGTAGATTTATTTGCATCGAAGGAAAAGATTTTCCCTCGATACCTGATGAGGCGAGAAGCAATATGAAGCGATTTGCAGCGATTTTTCTTCGTTTTCTTTCGCTTGGCCTGAAAAATTTCGGGAGTTTTGATACGAGCCTGGGAAACATTCAAATGTCTTGAATTCATTTCATTTTTGCAGTTTTTTTTTTTTGGGGTACCACGATTGCTTCGTTTGTTTCCCGTCAGTTCAACGGAAATAATTGTAAGAATATTGACACGTTTTGAAACAATATTCCGAAATCGCCATGTAGAGTAACGAGGTGCAGTATTATACTCGTATTTAATTTATTTTGCTAAATTGTCGATAATTTTTCTGGCCAGGCATCAAGTGAATTTTGGGACACTTGTATTCTATCTGCGTTCTCTGTTGGTGTGTAGGCGTGAAGATGTGTTCCTAATTTTTTCGCGATGACGTATGTCTTTTCCCTCGAAAGCTTTCGGAAAAAAAACGCCGATTTTTTTGTTTTAGTCGGCTGCACCAATTTTTGCAGGCTGCGTTTTTTTTTTTTTGTTCCGCTTTGTTTTCATTTCTGTGCCAATTTATTTGCGTTGCTGTCATCGTGTTGCGCATCATGGATATGCCGAACGGTTGTATACACTTTCGTCCTGCAGTTCCGCCGATGAATTTTTTTTGCTTTTTCACTCTCTCTGTTTTCAGCAAGAATGTGTGGATATATTTTACATCACGTTTTTCACCATTTTTTGGTCGGAATCGACAAATTTTTTTTTTTTTGAGAAAACGAAACGGTGGTTGGTCATGTCGTGTGGGTTAAATCCGAATGTTGTATTACTTCTCTTTGAGATTCGGTTTTTTATCTTTGTCCTTTTTTTCGTGTACAAATTATGTCCGTGACGAATCCTGATAGATCGTCTGTCGAAAATTCACCCGGTTGTCGTCGCCTGATGTGAACCACATTTTTTATTTGGTTCCCGTGAACATTTGTGAAGCGGTCCCCATTTGCCTGTTGCTTGAGAAAACCTCCTGTGTATGAGGGTTGTCCCGGTTGTATTCGACCTCTGATATTTTCCACGACTTGGTATGATAGTGAAAAAAATGGTATAATGATAATGAAACAGCGACGTAGCCCAAAATGTCCTGTTTTTTCGGATAAAATTTTTTTTTTCAATATACTGCATAATGATAAGTGAAAGCTTTCTGGTTACAGTCAAATTTCTCCACTTGTCTCGTTTCTCAGAGTGCTAAAAATTTTCGGCTAGCTGAAATGAAATTTTTTATTTATTTACCCATTTTTTTTTATACATTTTAAATCATGGTCAAGACCAAAAAAGCATTTTTTACCGAGCCTATGACGAATGTTTAGCACCCTGATACATGCTGGGTGGAGAACTCCGTCTGTTCCTGGAAAGTCTTCACATATCATCACGTTGTAATTGAAAATGTATTTTTAAAATCCGAAAAAATTCCCAGAACCTTGAAAAATCATGCGTTATTTCATGTTTTTTCAAATCACATGTACTAGAAAGAATATCAGAGGTCGCGTCCAACCGGGACAGCCCTCGTATCTTACATATTATCTACATTTATAGTGAACGTCGTCGACTTTGCGATGGAAAGTAATCGTTGAGCCTTCGATTGTCTTTCTATACGAATCATTTTTCGCTGAACTTTGAGAAAAACTTATGTCCTGACTCCTGAGGAACATTAGCCATGGGATTTTCAAAAATTTTCGCAGTCAGACTTTTAAGGTATTATAATAAGTTAGCCAGAATTGTGTCAATCTGATCTGTTCATTAAAAACCAAACTTCTTGATTATTGGAAAAATTGGGCTTACGTTTACTGAAGTGTGAGTTCAACGTATGATTTCACAAAGAATGTATAGTGCTGAATTCTCACTGCGAAGTAAAATTTTTGAACACCCCAAGGATTATGGTATAACATTATTGTATTCTATGCGAATTGAAGGAAGGCAAATTTGTCATTTTCTTAACGAGAGATGCAGGATTACTTTTGCTTATACTGTATATGTTAAATTTAGGCTGTTTTTATGGGATGGTATAACTACAACATCATGTTACGTCCCGTGCTTGGTCCCCGCATAACGAAACTCATCCGTTTCAGGTTAAATCATTTTCGCAATGCGAAATGCGATTTTTCTTAAGGGTGCATTTTATTCGTCCCGAACACTCAAAAACATCATAATAAATGATTGATAAACTGTATTTTTCTTAATTTTTTGCAAAGATTTTGAAATTTGAAATTTATGGGTGAACTTCGAGTAATCCTGATGAATTTTTGCTCTTGCTTTTCTGAATTTCACGAATTTCAACTGCGAAGTGAGGCTGAAGTACTTTTTTCGTATTTTCATCCATTCAAAAAATCCGAAGTTTTAGTCGCAAATTGGTTGAAATTTGAGCCTTTCTAGTCCAAATGATATCTTCGTTATGTGGAACATTTTCGCNAATGATATCTTCGTTATGTGGAACATTTTCGCCAGTAAAAATTTAGTTATAAACTGTTGAAACATTTATCATTTAAACTGTGTATTTTTCCTAGTTTTTTTAAAAACAATATTTAATATAAATTTTTGAGCGCGAAATTCAAATAACCCTAATGAACTTGTGCTCTGACCATTCTTAATTTCGCAAATCTTAAAGGCAAATTCTGTCCTTTTTTCTTCGACATTATTTTTGAAAAAGAAAAAATATTGAAAACTTAATGTAATTTGAGCATTTCTAGGCCAGATAAAAAGTTCGCTATGCGAGACTTTTTCGATCATCCAAAATTTTCAAGTTTGACATTTGAGTAATCCCGATGAATTTTGTGCTATGACCATTCTGCATTTCATAATAGTGAAATCAAAAAAATAATAAATGACAGGATTGTAACTTTATTCTCATATTTTCCTCAACTTTTGAAAAATATCTGAAGATTTTGTTGGAAACTTGCTGAGATTTCCACATTTTCGGGTCAAAAATAACTTCATTTCCTTGTTGTTGAGAAATTTCTCGCTTCGATTTCTTCGTTATGCGGGGACTCATCTTATACAGTATATACTGTACTTGTAGATTCGGGGAATTTTCATTCTTCTCCTTCGTATAAATATGTATATATATATATATGTCGGGACTCATTTCTGTCGTCGTGAATTATTGTGAAATCATCAGGGTTACACGAGGCCGAAAGAATACGTAGTGACTGAATGGCCGGTGAAGGAGAACGTGGTGCCCGACTTCTGGTCCCTGGTTTACGACCACGACTGCCCGGCCATCGTGGTTCTTTGCACTCCGGAACGATCCCCGGTAATCTCACTCATCGAGCTCCGACTGAACGCTATATATATATTTTATCTTTATCTATACTGTATATATGCAGTACAGTATTCAAGTGCTGTACTGTATAATATAATACAGTATCTAAAGGGGGACCTTTTCTTCGAGTGGCTCTTTATTTTCTCTGCTTTTTCATTATTAATCTGGGTGCTTGTGCCGACGGTTTCGGGGGACTATTTCTCGAAAAGAGTCCATCTCAGAGAGAGAGAGAGAGATTTTAAGTAGAGCAGTACGGTTAGTTCTTCGCAAAGACATGCTTGACCAGCATCAGTCGGTCCAGGGCGATAAAATGCTCAGTGTTATGTTTCTTTTCTCCTTTTTTTCAAAGCTTTTGGTGGGATTTTTATTGAGACTTGAATGCTATACAGTTTCAGCGCAAGCAATATCCAGTTGTGATATTTTATGTGGATGTTTTCGATTCTTTAAAGAACCTATTAATTTCGAGAACGAGAAATTGTTACAATTTTCTAAATACGCACTTGATTTATCGATCTCCAGTTGTGGTATTTTACGAGGATATTTTAGAAAATTGTTTCATTCTCTGAAGATCCTTGAAGAGTATAGGAACATTTTTTTTTAATGTTTAGACACACTTGGTATGGAGACAGTAGTACTGTATTACAATGAATATCAAATTTTGACATTTTGAGTGGATATTTTTGATAGTTCTTCAATTCTGTGGAGAAAGTCAATCGAGTATGAAAATGTTGTCTGTCGCATTTTTTGTGACGCGCACTTGAAAGTGTCACAATTTTTACATAAAATCGTGACATTTTACGTGAATTTTTTTTTAATTCTTCAACTCTACCAAGATTCTTCGATGAGGACGAAAATTGAATCTATTTTTTTTCCGTATTTTTCCATTTTTCGAAAGACAAGCTCATGGTGTATGGCTTTGATAATAGTTTAAAATTAAAAATCATGATATTCAGTACAAGTATCTGTAAAATATTAGCTCTTTTATAATGAGAAAGTTCGTGCGAATTTTGAGAATGGTGATTCATGCGAGTTAACTTCAACTTCAAATGTTTTTTTTCATGATTAGCCGTAATTCTGAGTGATGAAGGGATGAAATGTGCTAAAGCTCGGTAAATTTCTTCGGAACGAGTGAAAAACTACTGCAACGAATTTGTTTCAAGATCATGTCCGAAACTCCTTGAATTTAATACTGAGCAAATATTTTTATACCGAAATTTCACTATGATTACTTATACAGTTAATCATATATTCTCTAAAAGAAACTACTGTACCGTTTTCATGAATTTTCTGCATTTCAGCTTTCCCAATACTTATTCGCGAACTTTTTTTTTCACTGGGAAACTGTGTTACTGAAATCCTCCTCAGAGAAATGTGTTATTCTGCTGGAAAGCGTTTTTTTTTTAATTTTTCAGGTACAGTTGGTTGATTTGTCCAGATTTAAGCTCGTGCATGAAGAAATTGATCCTTGATTTCATAAAATAATAAGAACAAAAATCTAGATGCACCAACATTTTGTAACAAATTTATTGCTGGGTTCTTTGAACAGAAATTTCTTGTTTCTATGTTGGACTCATTCAAGGAACGCATCCCGCTTGATTCACAATATATTGCTCTGATGAAGACTCGGTAAATCAGAGTCAGAATTACAGTTTTGAAAGTTTTTTTTATGGCTCAAAAAAAAGCTTATCCTTTGAGAAATTATTTTCGTAAATCCCACCGGAAGCATTGATGAATTCATTAATCTCACCCCTTTATGAAGACTATGCCTCATTTCTCTGATGGGCTCATCTGTTGGGAGTTGATTATTGGGAGGCACATGGGTTTTCTAATGGCTTCATGAGGTGCACCCCATAACAAACGGCCTGAAGATAAAAAAGTTAGAAGAGAGAATGATGCAGAATCCGAGGTTGAGCTTGAAACTTTTTGAGGGGTTTATTAATTTTGGCCTGTCTTTCATTTCGCATCTTCGAAAGAACAAACTAATGAATGAATACCATGATGGACATCCGTTCTCGTGATCCTACGTATGAAAATACGCATAAATATCTGAGATCGTTCTAATGACACTCTTTTATTTGCGTCCGTTGATTTTTTTCTTTTTCGTAGTGCAGTAGCTTGTAGTTTGCATCCCGTTGAATTTTTGCACATTAAATTATAGCATTCCTTACATAGGAATGCGATAAGAGCAGTTTATTGAACCCTCGACGTAGTTTATATTCATTAAAGAGAACCGATTAAATTGAACATGCAATGACTCATTTTCCCTCATTTCTTTTTTCCCGCTTGAACCTGATCTAGTTTTGCATTCTCTTTCAATTTTCAGTCATACTAATTCAATTGCGTGAATTAATCTTTAAGAATTCATATATTATTGATGGAAAAATGCATCACAAAAAAACGGAGATTGGTTCTGTTTCTCTCAGGTACTTTTGAAAATATGTATCTTTAATCGCATAAATATAACGGAATTTGCACAGAAAAATGAAACACCACGCAAGACTGAATTCGAATAGTTGAAATCTGTTCAAAAATGGAGCTTGTCCAAATGCATTACTACAGTATTGAATAACTTGTAGTAATTTTCAGTTCTTGTCTGGGACAATCGGGCCAGTTATAATTGATTTTTTTGCAGACAATGTGCACTGGAAAAAAAAAACAATCTATAGATTACCTCATTTCATTTGCATAACTTTGGATTTCATAGGTAGCTTGCGAATCTGCTTGTTTATGAAAGTAGAATATATATATATAGAACAGAACAATAGAATCTCATTAGAATACAACAAAGCATTTGGAACCTTGAAGAAGCTTCGTTCTGAGAGAAAATTTAAAAATAAATTAAAATAATATCGTTGCTTACTGAGAAACATTGTGAGAATTGATTCGTTATAACGAGATTCTTCAGTACATTAAAATTGAAGGGAAATGCAAACTGTATAATCAGTAGGTTTCTTTCAATTTTTTAATAAAGATATATTTAGCGCTTGATTTATTTGAAAGGAGATGCGATTATTTTAAATTTTTCAGGACGAATCTTCGCACATTTTTGTTCAATTTCGAGTTGCTCTTTATTCCTAGGTTTTCTGAAAACTTTGGGACTGAAATTTTCTTTGTATGCCTGTGTAGGCATGAAATCTTCCCATTTTTTTTTTCAGAAAGCTGAAAAATAGTTTTCAATAGACTGGTTTTTATTCTTGATTTTGGAAGGCTGAGTTTTTATGGAAGATACTGTTTGCTATAATATCATCAATTGCCTTTGTCATGGGTCTTCGTGGTAAAAAATGCAGGATGAAAACTTCAACTACGGGGAAGATGATGATGTTGATGATGTCCCAGTTCAAGGATTGGCCTTTTTCCGAACGAATCGGATGGGAAAGCTTTTTTGGTGTCGACCTTATTCGGTTCGTTTCGTGATCTTCGTGTTTGGGCCCGAAGACTTATTCAGTATTTTCATTTTATTCTGTCACTGTTCAGAACGTCATTTGGTCAGCAGTCGAGTCTCTTTATATGCTTCAGGCCTTATTTGAATCACTTTTGTATCAGATATCGCGTGAATATTCTCATTGGTGTAGGAGTGAGTTGTAGAATATGTTGGTGTCATCCCATATGTAGGCAATGTTGGAAACTTCACATTTCATATACAGGACTGTATAATTGTTAATTTTTCGTATTTTTGTTAACTGTGATTTAGAATATGTTAGTGGATCCCTCACTGAAATTCTTTGGATTTTTCGTGATGGATTTTATCGAACAACATTTGAGAGAATATGTGCGTACTATTGAATTTTTTCTCAACTTTCGTATTGATTGTGATCTTTCAATATTTTATGGAGTATTCAATCAATGCTTGGAAGTATAATTGTCAACTTTTTCGTCAATTTAAAAATGAAATTTAATTGCACAGTTTTTTTTTTTTTTCAACGGCAATCGAGTTTTCCAATTCAAGGATTTTACTGCCATTTATTGGCTCAAACTTCAAAAACAAATTTGAGTACCTCCCAGATTCAGGAATTTATTTCCACTATTTACAGTGAGCATACTCTACAAGTCTACATGATAAACTGAAGTTGGACTCTTCCTTATCATTCTATAGTACTATAATTGCAACATTCTTCTTGAATTGCAGCAGTTTATATTCCTACCTCTGATATGAGGTTGGTCACATATGCATCGAAAAGTACTTTACAGTATAGTGATTTGAAGAGTATAGTTCAAGGAGTTGACTGAGCGTTTCAATATTATTTTAGGCTTATTAATATGTACTATACAGTGAAGGAGTAAAACAGTACTATTCCTATTTTGAGCCCATACAGGACCTATGTTTTTTTTTTGTGTGCATTGGATGATGCCAACACCATAGGATTTTTAGTGTAAATTAAGATGGACGCTTTGGTTTTCATTTTTTATGCCTTACTTCAGATGTTATAGTTTGTTTTCAGTTTCGCCGCTGTTTCGTGGCTTTATCAACTTCAAATTCGTCGTTTTGAGGTTTTTGTTCCCTTTTTTGCTTGAAGTTATATCCTATATATATATATGTTTGAGTATAGAGCACTGCAATATTTGGGTATTGTTGATTTGCATTTTGCTGTTTTGTTTGCATGCATGCTTATTACTTTGTTTTTGCTGCATGGCTCTCTTTATATTTGTTAATTTTTTGGCGCATCTTTATTTGCTTCTGTGCATCAAAATTAATTTGTATGTATTCTTTGTTGTTTGTTGGGAAAACGCAAGACTTATCCACCGTTTTGGCCAGAGTCGTCCAGGTCCCGGAAATATGGCAACGTTTTCACCTTGGATATGATTAGCAAACAAGATTATCCCAATATTCGTTCTTGGATTTTTCGCATCAACAAAAAGGTTAGTTTTTTTCTATTCTTTTACAGCTTGAAGTATCATTGTGATTTAAGAGTGTTATAGAAAATTATTTTTATGATTGGAATGATTTTTTGTATCCGTTGTTGTTTCTTTTTCTTTCTTTTCCGCATGCGTTTGAATATGTGTGTGTGTGACTCGTGTATTTTGTGCATGATTGGACCATTCGTCGTCAAAAGGAATTCCTTCCATGTCGGAGCACGATTTCCATGAATGTGGCTGAAAATCAGGGAAAGAAGGTTGTGCCGATTTATTTGTTTTTCTTTTCCTCGTAGTTATTGATAAATGTTACTCTCAAATGTTTTTCAATTTGCACTTTTCTAGTGTTTTTGATGTTGTAGACCAGTATTCTTGAACCCGTGGTCCGTGGACTGACGACGGTCCGCAGAATTTTTTTTGCCGGTCCGCGGGAAATTTTCAGCTTGATAGTAAATTTATCAAAAGTAAGAATGAATCCTGTCATCGTTATCTGAAATTTCTGAATAACAATGACGATCAAAATTATCTGATGAAAAAATAAAAGTTGCCTTTCCTCTGAATAAAACTTCGGACAAATTTTCGCCTGGTGAAAAAAAATCTATAATCATTTATTTTGTGAAACCTTTCTTCAAGCCCACCTTTCAAATGTTTTGATTAAATTTAACTAAAGCTGTTTCTCTGGTTCTTAACTCAATTTAAAAAAGGAAATAATTTTCAAATACCTGCCACGAAGTCTTTCAACTTTCATGCGCAACTTTTTGAGTCTGAAGATCTTATAAAACATAGCCGGTCTCCAGAATTTCTTTTTTTTTTCTTTAATTGCTGGTCTGCAACAAATTTTATGGAAATTTTCCTGTCCGCGGGCCAAAGAAGGTTAAAGAACACTGGTTTTAGACTATTCAATATGATTGCTTTATTTGCTTTTTTTGATTGTTCACCTATTGTTTGCATTGAAAAAAACACCTTTCATGTCGTTGTGTAGAATATTGAATCTTTAGGATGTATTCATGTAGATAAAATTCGTATGAGTTGCAATGTTAGGAATATTTCAAAATAAAAATTATGTGCCCCACAAAATTCAAGGACTTACAGTTTTTTTTTAGTCAGTAAGTTTCTTATCTGAAGGATTTTTTTGTCATTTGGCTTGAAAACAAACTTGGTGCTTCCTGGATGCAGAACTTCATAGTCCACTTGTGAAACAAGCTTACTTAATTAACATATTCCTGTCAAGATGCTGATGCATTGAATGCTACTCATATTTTTTTCTCTCTGGAAAAATGTTTGATTGATTGATTTCCCTGTGACATGTTTGGACAGATTGTGTCGCTGACAGAACTGATGGCTGGAGTGAAAGCAGAGCCCAAGACTTGTCAGCTTTTCCAGCTCACTTGCTGGCCCGAGGGTCACAAAGTTCCGCTGTCGACGAATTCCCTGGTGGAACTCATGAACATGGTGGAACGGTGGAGAGCCAAGACAGACTACGGACCAGTCGTTGTAGTTTCTCAGTGAGTTCTGTAAAGTCTTTTTTGAATGAACTTTTTGAGTTATTCATCTAGAAAATGCAGTACAGTACTGGGATCTTGATGGTTAACAACCATGATGGCTTACAAATTGTTTGGCTAATATAGACTATGGGATTGGGCCATCAGCTGCCTTGACTGACAGACACACCCTGACTTGGTTTGCAAATTTTGGGTTACTTCATATGTGAATAATGGGTCAACAATTTATTTGAGCAAAAGCCTGTGATTTCCTGCCCTACATAATTTTATCTTCTTCTCTCATTGATCAAAAGTGTTTCTCTGACATTCTACATTATAAACGTGCAAAAAGCTTTTTAATTTCAAACTGGTGATTGAAAATGTTCTGTGTGAGTCAGAAAATTACGTCATATAAAATATTTAAGTGAAAAGGTGCAGTTCCTTTTCAGTCTGTGATTGGAAGCCTCCCCACAAACAAACACACTGGAAAAATTCTGACATTTTTCTTGAATTTCATGTGCACTTTTGATGTTTTGAAAACAATTAAAATGTACTTGAGAAAAACATGATTTGGTGAACAAACTGTTTGGTTAATTAACTTTGGATTAAATTTGTAAACCAAGACAGGGACAATTTGAGAAAGGGCCATTTGGAGGCCAGGAAAATTTGAGACAGATTGATTTAGAGATGGGGACAATTGGAGACATAGACATTTAGAGACAGGGACCATTTGAGACAATCCCAAATCAATTCAGCACATACAATTGTTTTTCTTCTACACTTAATATTCTGCTTTTCCCCAGAGATATTTCAAAAATCCCAAAAAATATCTTCTGTTTATGCTCAAGGGATGTTCAATAATTCACACTATCTTTTGCCAAAAAAGGACAATCTTTGTTCCTTTTCACACCTTCAAAATGAGATATTGTATTAGGGAGAAACACAAGAAACTTATTTTTAAAATGGTTCTATACTTTCTCAAAATGTCTCAATTTCTCTCTGCTTCAAAATGTATCTGTCTCACATTGTCCCTTAATCCAAAAAATTATTTATTAAATTATCCCTGTCATCTAAAGTTTCTGTCCCAAATTGTCCTTGTCTGAAATTGTCCCTGTCTC